CATTCAGTGCAAGAGCTTTTAATATTAATAAGATATTACTACCTTAGACAGATTAGATATGATAAACGATTCTACGAAAAGAGTAGATAAAAGATTCGATAACTTAAGAATAGATATCTTACCAAAATCTAAAAAGTTAGTGTACAATACTTCTAAATCGTTTGTCCTCCACTTTATATAGCAATAATCGGAGTATCATATGATAGCATCGAATTGTTCTAATGGCCTGTCAATGTAACGATAAAAATTACATTTATGGAAAAATAATCACAGAAAGAAGCGTAAGCTTTTCAAATAATATAGTATAACACTGAATAAAGAATCGATTTTTTTTTTTTATTTCTTTCGTGAACATTCAATTGCACAAAGTGACTGAAAAGCAAAACACACATATACGCACATAAAAGTATTATTTTTCAAATCTATAATTCAATAATCAACATTGTAATTTTTATACAGAGTATGTGTGAAAAATTTTAAATGTAAAATAAATAAGCTGATTTATGTATTTTAATCATTTTGCAACTGAATATTTATAAAGAAAATAAATGTCAGTTCTTCCTAAGAATAGCTTTCCATTTACGAGGAACGTACACTTTTTTTCGTACACAACACGATCAGTCGGACGTGAGAATTTTTTTCTTTCGATTTTCGCGGATTGCGTGGTGTAAAATCGGAAAGAATGTTATTTGCCGTTCGTTGTAAGTCGTCTTCGAAAACGACCAAACGCGCTTATCGACATAAGTTGGAAAATGATCATATTACACGTAACGCATAAACGGTCAGAAATAGAAATAATGTATTATCAGCAAATACATCGGGCTATCGCATTCCTTCATCCTCGAGGACGCTTCTTGACTATAAGCTGCGCGCTATATTTCCATCGATACAGCACATCATTCGTGCATGCATGTAAAAAACCTTTAAGTGATGTATCAAATTACAAATTCCACAAATGTATCGCGTGGCGGTACTTTTATCAACGGATAGCCTTTATTATTCAGCGATTTGTCGATGATAATAATAATAATAATAATAATAAACTTTATTGATGTGCAAGATATAAAATTATAAATATAAAATGCAATGCATAAATTAGAGTCACATTTTAAAAAAGTGAGTATCAGCAATAATGTAAGCCTGGACCTTATTATAATAATTAATTAAATAACAGATGGAACGAAATATACAATTGAGAAGATTACAATTATAAATAATAACGTGTACAATGATGAGCAGAAATTTTATGCACACACACAGGCGCACACACATGCGCGCGTGTTTGTGTGTCTGTGTGTATATAAACGTATGTGTATGTACATACACAGAGTGATTATTGAATGTGGTGTATGATAAGTGAAAAATATTTATTGATTATATTATTTAATATTATTTATTTGCTGAACGCTATACGCTATTTGTTGCATCAATCGTGAATATTTCGCGGAGACGGATCGTATTTGGAGATTCTAAGGGACTGCGCGCAATGAAGGAATAAGATCAGAGAATAGGTACAGAGAATAAAAATTTCAATCTATCAGAAATATATTCTGTAGTATATATTCTGTAGTGCATCGTGTTTCTGATTGGTTGAAATTCTTATAATCTGTTCCTGTTCCTTCATTGTGCGTATCCCCTTACTGTTAAACTATTTTCCTATACATGTCTCCGAAGACCGACGATGACGTACATACGTTCGATAACGTAAAGAGAATTACGTTTTCACACAGTTTAATTATTAAATAACAGGCCTATTCGGAAATACTCTCGGAAATGCTTTAATACCTACTCGAGCGCGGGAGGAGTCAATGTTTTACAAATAGATCTTAGAGCGCGTGCAGAGACGTTAGGAGGGTGGCTCATGTCCAAAATTGGCCCGTCGTGGACTTCACGCCGCCCGTATTGAATTTCACGCAATATTTTTCCAACTCTAAAATCTCAACCATCAGTCTCCGGAGTTTTTTTTTTATAATCTCGATTAAATACCGCATTTTACTTTGCGATTTTCCAATAAATCGTTCGCGAACTCATATTCCGATTTACTTTCGCTCGTCATCTTCTCCAGACTCTTTGATCGTTACATAGACGTAATGTGCAATTTTTCATATTGTGAAAATTGTCATTGTTGAAAAGATAAATATCGTGGAAGCTGATGTTAGAAATTGATATATAAAGCGATAGTTGCGAAGATTTTAATCTGATACAATGTAAACAATCATCTTCTTAATTTCTCTTTAAAACTTGTTGTAAAGTGCATTTTATTGTAAAGAGTGAAATCTCACTCTTAAAGATTGAAACTTGAGCCACTCTTTTTCGAAACTGGCTCAATTCTTCAGAGCGAGATTTTACTCCAAAGAGTTTAGAGAGTTGGAAATTGTGTTGCAGTTTTCTTTCTGATATCTGATTTCCTGTTGGTATATTTTAAAAAGTTATAGATATGCAAGAACGTTGTTTTTAACAAGATTATGTGTTGTTTCATAATTGCAGAAAGATATCGAAAGACTGTCAGAAAATTATTGTAGAACGATAGAAAGCGTGGTTTAAGAATCGGGACAGAAGATATATATAGCGGGAGGGATCGGGGTCGCTACTAAAATATACACTAAGCATATAGCAAAGAAACTCAATCTCCCATTTTAAATGATTATTTCTCATGATTTATATAATTTATATAAAAAGTAAGCAAATTGTCAAACTGTCCTTGAATTGCCATGTTATTATTTCTGTGTTAATTGCATTAACCCTTGTCTTGTTCAGTACCAATTTATGATTGTTGAACGCAAATTAATTGGTCCTTTTTTCGTCTTCAGACATTCACAGCTTGGTGCAACTCGCATCTACGCAAAGCAGGCACTGCCATCGAATCGATCGAAGACGATTTCAGGAATGGGTTGAAACTGATGTTACTGCTTGAGGTCATCTCAGGTGAGACTCTTCCGAGACCCGACAGAGGCAAAATGAGGTTCCACAAGATTGCCAATGTGAACAAGGCCCTCGATTATATCGCTAGTAAGGGCGTTAAACTGGTTTCAATTGGTGCAGAAGGTACGTTTTTCCTCTTAACGAAATCATTGTAAAAAGTATAGTAGCTAAATTGTGTATATTGATTTTATAAAAATATTTTTTATGCCAATAATATATGTTATAGAAATCAAAGTTTATTAGATTTTTAGTGTTTGCATCATACTTTTGTATTTATTAATAAAATTATAAAAATATTGCATATTTAATATAATTTATATTTTTTTTTATCTTGTACGCTTCAAAAATCGATAACTTTTTGACAGAAATCGTTGACGGCAATCTAAAGATGACTTTGGGAATGATATGGACCATTATCTTGAGATTCGCAATCCAGGATATTTCTGTAGAGGAGATGACCGCGAAGGAAGGACTGTTACTTTGGTGCCAACGCAAAACGGCACCGTACAAGAATGTCAACGTTCAAAACTTCCATTTGTCCTTCAAGGACGGTCTCGCATTCTGCGCTCTTATTCATCGTCATCGGCCCGATTTGATCGACTACAATAAACTCAGCAAAGATAACCCCCTGGAGAACTTGAACACTGCCTTCGATGTCGCTGAAAAGTATCTCGACATTCCTCGCATGTTAGATCCCGATGGCATGTATCAAATCAAACGTTAAATTAAATACTTACGATAGATATCTTAGGAATATACGAGACACACGTTCGACATTTTGATTATTAGGATCGAGGAGACGATTATATCGAATCGCCGAGATTATATATTTGCCTTTCGTTATATAGGATGGAACTACGATTGGATTCTTTCTTTTAGCATCGAAATGACATGCATAAACACTTTAATGTTCACATATTCCCTTGATATCATATAGATTTGATCAACACTCCCAAGCCGGATGAGCGAGCTATCATGACGTATGTGTCCTGCTACTACCACGCGTTCCAAGGTGCCCAGCAGGTCAGCGTAAAAAAATGCGTGTTGCTCTCCCTCGTCCTTACCCTCGTTCTTAAAAGCGACCTGTTTAATCCTTCGTTAACGCGAACTATAAATGAATTGTATTGCTAACTGATAACGACGTTTGAACCTGCTAATTGATCACCTTGCTGTTGTCTTAATTCAATTACTTCACCAGGACCGAAACAAACTATGCATTGTGTTCTATAACATTTTTTAAATAAGAGTATGTTACAACCGAATTTTGTGTGTATTATCTTTGCCAACATAGTTTATGCGAAGGACGTCGCATTTTTATTATATGTATTGTAGATATGACATTGTAAGAATTATATAATGAATTATTAATGGCGTTCCGCTTCTTGCTGGACTTGTTTACCGTTAAAATTAATTAAATTTTTAACGGCAAGTTCTTACGCTAACAACGCATGGTTTGAGTTTCTTCGAATGTGTTTTTCTAGATATGCGAAATACGGCAATGCCTGATGAGAGAGCTGTGATGACCTATGTTTCCTCATACTACCACTGTTTTAGCGGTGCTCAAAAGGTGTGTGTTTTTCAATTTGAATTAACTTATGACCTATAACCTATAACAAACACGTCAAATATTTGCGTGTGCATTATTGAAATACATTATTAATACATGCAGCAAAAAATTCAAGACATTTAATATTTATATCTCAAGTTCCTTATTTACATTTCTAGATGGCTATATCCACGATTGCATGCATCTTACTCAGTGGAAGTAAACTACACACGTTTCAAATGTATAAACGTAATATGAAAATTCTTTGTAAGGAAAAAATATGTATTTTCTTATTGTAGGCAGAGACAGCGGCTAACAGAATCTGCAAGGTACTGAAGGTGAACCAAGAGAACGAGCGTCTCATGGAGGAATACGAGCGCTTGGCTTCCGATTTACTCGAATGGATACGACGAACGCTACCATGGCTCGCGAATCGACAAACTGATAATTCCCTCGCCGGTTGTCAGAAGAAACTAGAGGAGTACAGGACATATCGGCGCAAACATAAGCCGCCGCGTGTCGAACAGAAAGCCAAGCTGGAAACGAATTTCAATACTCTTCAGACCAAACTGAGGCTGAGCAACAGACCGGCGTATATGCCCACAGAAGGAAAAATGGTGTCCGACATAAATAAAGCATGGAGAAGTAAGTTTTATCAGAATCCCTTTGTATATGTTTCTTTGTATATTTTCGAATAAAATATTGGTATTTTAAAAATTATTTTTAGATTTGGAGTTGGCCGAAAAGACGTTCGAGGATTGGTTATTATCCGAAATGATGCGTCTGGAGCGACTGGAACATTTGGCGCAAAAATTCAAGCACAAGGCAGATGCTCATGAGGATTGGACCGCCGGCAAAGAAGAGATGCTTACGTCTCAACATTTCCGGCAATGCAAATTAAACGAACTTAAGGCCCTGAAAAAGAAACACGAAGCTTTCGAATCAGACCTCGCTGCTCATCAGGATCGCGTAGAACAGATCGCGGCTATTGCTCAAGAACTTAAGTAATTTCAAAACTCTGAATCTATCTTAGACGATTATTTTGATCATTATAATACTTAAATTCTATTGTTATAGCACCCTCGAGTATCACGATAGCGCATCTGTGAACGCCAGATGCCAACGCATTTGCGATCAATGGGATCGCTTGGGTACGCTCACTCAACGTAGACGTCAAGCTCTCGATGAAGCCGAGAAAATACTGGAGAAGATAGACGTCTTACATCTGGAATTTGCCAAGCGCGCTGCTGTGAGCACTTGATTACATAAAATTTGACTCGTAAAATTGTCAGCTTTTTTTATACAGACTGACGTCGCATGATTTTTAGCCATTCAACAATTGGTTGGATGGAACTAGAGAAGATCTAGTGGACATGTTTATCGTCCATACAATGGAGGAGATCCAAGGTCTGATGGATGCGCACGCTGCATTCAAAGCTACGCTAGGCGAAGCAGATAAAGAGTACAATTCAATTGTGGGATTGGTGCGCGAAGTCGAATCCATAGTCAAGCAATACCAGATTCCTGGCGGCCTAGAGAATCCTTACACTACTCTCACTGCAATGGTATGTTGAAGAATAAATTATTGATGTAGTATAGGGATTACTCTCAAATTAATCGATACTTTTTGTTCTATAGGACCTTACTAAGAAATGGAGCGACGTTAGACAATTAGTCCCTCAACGCGATGGTACCCTAGCAGCTGAACTTCGCAAACAACAAAGTATCCTTGCTTTCTAATATTGATTATTTAATTTTGATTTTCTGATCCTAATATAAATTTCATGCCAAATATATTACGATTTAATGAACATTTTCTCATTTTCATTGCTTTTAAAAGATATTTCCTGAATTGTGAAAATAGATAATGAACTGCTTAGACGACAATTCGCTGAAAAAGCCAATGTTGTTGGACCATGGATAGAACGTCAGTTAGATGCCGTAACTGCGATTGGTCTCGGTCTTCAGGTGAGGTATTTCTACTCTTAAGTAGAGATTTTTGTCTGTCGTTTATATATTTTATATATAATTAGTTATATATAAAAATATGAATTTTAAAAAATTATATTTATACTTTAGGGAACTCTCGAGGATCAGTTACATCGTCTGAAAGAGTACGAACAGGCTGTATATCAATACAAGACTCATCTTGAAGAATTGGAGAAGATTCATCAAGCGGTTCAGGAAGGTATGATCTTCGAGAACCGGTACACTCAGTATACCATGGAAACGCTGCGCGTTGGTTGGGAACAGCTTCTGACATCGATCAATCGCAACGTTAATGAAGTCGAAAATCAAATTCTCACCAGAGATTCAAAGGTATTTTATATCATTTAAATAATTATAAAATTATACATCATTTAAAGAAATATTGATTGTAATCATGAGTATACAAGAGAAAAGATGCTTTTATAATCAAAATTAAATGCAAAAAAATTGAAACATTGACATCGAAAAAATTATGCCAGAAGAAAAGGAAACTGATTTATCAAGTGAAGAAATCGAAGATTCTGAAATAACAATAGACGATGAAGTTACGCCAAAACAAAATATGCATCAGTTTTTTATATGAGATATGTTTATTGATAAATGAAGTTTATCTAAACAAGATACGTAGGAAAAGGAAAAAAAGTCATATAGAATATTAACATAAAAACCTCTTACATTCACATACATATTCCAATATATGTAAATATATATATTGCCATTATTAAAAATCTATTGTTCATATTACGTATACTACAGATTTTCAGTACTAGTAATGTATATCATAATATGAATAATATTGCCGAGTTGCTTACAATCTTCGTTAAAAACAAGCGGAAACATTTCTATTTCAGGGTATCACTCAAGAGCAGTTGAATGAATTCCGCAGCAGTTTCAACCATTTCGACAAAAACAGGACAGGTCGATTGGCACCGGACGAATTTAAATCTTGCCTTGTATCTCTGGGGTACTCTATTGGAAAGGACAGACAGGGCGATATCGACTTCCAACGAATTCTGGCCATTGTCGATCCTAATAATTCAGGCTATGTGCACTTTGACGCTTTCCTCGATTTTATGACACGTGAGTCTACTGATACTGATACAGCGGAGCAGGTCATCGACAGTTTCCGCATTCTCGCTGGCGACAAGGTAAGAATACTTCAAATTTTTATGACAATGCAGCGATGAAAGTTGCATGTTTAACTTGTGTCGTAAATTCTTGTTTTTCAGCCTTACATCTTGCCAGATGAATTGCGGCGAGAATTACCACCGGATCAGGCGGAATATTGCATTCAGCGAATGCCTCCATACAAAGGACCGAGCGCTGTGCCTGGAGCATTAGACTATCGCTCTTTCTCAACAGCTCTATATGGTGAATCTGATTTGTAAATTTACGTAATATTCGATGCGGAATAATATAAAAAAAAAAAAGATACAAAAAGCGAATCAGATATTGTCAATTGACAAGTGAACGCCTCAAAATTACTCTTACTATTTTAATACTTTAACGCATCAACGTATTTTCATGTGGCGATACGTTTTATGAAAATAAAACTCAATATGAAAGAGTACAATACATTCAATAATATGTCACTACAATAAATAATAATTGTACGTGTACATGTATGTATATATATGTATACGTATACATACACACTCGAGATTATTGGATGTGTGAGGTAAGAAAGAGTAGATGGTGTCATTTTAACGCAAAGGGATCTAAGTGTGTCAAAATAGATAATTAAGAATATCTTCCACATGAATGGAAATCACATATCAAATATATACAAGGAAAGAGGATTTACGTAACTTATATAAGTCTGTTAACGTGACAATAATAAGTATCAAATATATTTAGATACCTTTCGTTAAAAGGATAAGAAACGTAAATATATGTAGACACGAAGTTCGAAATCAATGTACTCTTCTAGAACGTTTTGCTACATGCTTGCTCTTTTATTCTTTTATGTAGTCTACACCGAAACGAGACAGCTCGAATTTTCTTTTTTTTTTTCTTTTTGGGATGGTAAGTGCCAATGTTAGATAAGATCTTGTGTAATTCTTGTCTTGTAATAGAAAGAAATTGTATCTTAGACTGGTAATTATGGCAAAAAGAAAAGGCTCACATAATTGGATAGTTAGTGAGTGCATTGATACTAGAGGCTCTCCGAATTATTATTAGAATAGTATTACTGGATATTTATTCTAAAGTCCTAATAGCCTACATTTTGTATTTGATTATACAGCGAAAGAGACATATATATATAT